AGGCACTCGAGGGAGTGTCAAAACTCCCGACGACTATGGATGATGAGAAAAAGCAAGAGGTGCTCAAAAGGGCATACAACACTTTGATTCTCAGCCTTAGTGATAAAGTGTTGTGAGAGATTGTGAAGATGAAGTCAGCGGCCGAAGTTTGGTTGAAGCTTGAATCTTTCTACATGACGAAGAGTCTTTTGAACCGATTGTATCTCAAGGTGAAGTTTTTCACCTTCAAGATGACAGAGAGCAAGGAAATTTAGGAACATATTGACGAGTTCAATAAGTTGATCATGGACTTGGAGAACATTGGGGTTGAATATGATGACGAGGATAAGGCTTTGGTTTTGCTACACTCTTTGCCAAAGTCTTATGAGAATTTCGTGGACATTTTGTAACATGGCAGGGAGACGATCTCTTTGGAAGATGTTGTAGGTGCTTTAAGGTTTAGAGAACAGAAATGCAAGAGTGAACTGGATGAGCATAGCGGAGATGGTTTAATGGTTCGAGGAAGATCAGACAAGAGGGAGCCAAAGAGTAAAAAGAATGGCAGGTCTAAGTCTCGGGATGGCAAGAAGGTTATCAAATGCTTTCATTGTCATGAGGAGGGGCATATCAAGAAAAACTGTCCAATGAAGAAGAAATGAGTAAACACACAAGGAAAAGATGTTGAAGCTGCAGTCGTACAACAAAATGAAGAGGGCTATGAGAGTGCGGATGTCCTGGTTGTTACAACGAAGCACTCAAACAAGCAACGGATCATGGATTCAGGTTGTTTGTTCCATATGACGCCAAACCTTGAGTGGTTTGAGAGGTACAAGGAGATTGTTGGCGGAGAAGTCTTATTAGGGAACAACAAACCATGCAAGGTGATCAAAATTGGCTCGATTGGGATTAAGACTCATAACAGGATGGAGAGAATCTTATCAGATGTAAGACATGTTCCCGATCTTCGAAGGAATCTTATTTCACTAGGGATGCTTAACGAACGTGGTTTTAGCTGGAAAGGTGAAAAGAACATCTTGAAGGTTTCAAAAGGGTCGCTTGTTGTGATGAAGGGGGTTAGAGACAAGAGTCTATATGTACTTCAAGGAAGCACCGTGATTGGTGATGCGGCGCTAGTAACGGAATCGAAAGGAAGGTCTTTGGCAAGCCTGTGGCATAAGCGACTGGGTCATTTTAGTGAAATAGGATTGCAAGAATTGGAGAAGCAACGGCTATTTGGTGGAGCGAAGCTAGGAGAATTAGAGTTTTGCGAGAATTGCGTCTATGGCAAGGCTACCCATGTGAAGTTTAAGAGGTCATCGTATGTTACGAGGGAGACACTCAGTTAGGTTCACTCTAATTTGTGGGGCACATCGTGAACGGAGACTCTAGGGGGTGGACGGTACTTCATTACGTTTATAGATGATTGTTCTCGGAAGGTTGGGGTTTACATTTTGAAAAATAAAAATGATGCTTTTGGGAAGTTCAAAGAGTGGAAGAAAATGGTAGAGGTTCAAACCGGGAAGAAGATCAAGAAGTTGAGAACTGACAACGGGTTGGAATTTCTTGGTGACGATTTCAATCAGTTTCTAAAGGATGAAGGTGTGGTTAGACATTAAACTGTCAGGAAAACTCCGCAACAGAATGGCCTAGCAAAGAGGATGAATCGAACACTTTTAGAAAGAGTGAGGTGCATGTTAATAGAAGCCAGTTTACCTAAGAGGTTTTGGGGAGAAGCTGTTAACACGGCGGCCTACCTTGTGAATAGGTGTCCTTCAGCGGCAATTGATTTCAAAACACCGGAAGAACTGTGGACCGGTCATCCACCAAATTTTGAAAACTTGAAGGTATTTGGGTGCACTGCTTATACACACCAAAAGGAAGGAAAACTTGATCCTAGAGCCAAGAAGTGTATGTTCGTGGGATACCCAGAAGGTGTTAAAGGTTATAAACTCTAGTGTAAAGACGGGAATATGTCAAAGAGTATTATTAGTCGGGATGTACTCTTTAGAGAAACTGAATACTACATGGCAACAGTGACTCAATGAGGGTCCAACGAGGTGGCATGGATAATTATGCTAAAGAATGGGCTGAGATTGAGTTGGAGCAGTTAGGAAGCAATAGTACGGAACGGGATGATAAAGCTGTGACTAATGAGGAGGATCACTTGCAGGTGGAGGAGGATCACTTGCAGGTGGAGGAGGAAGGCAGTAATCCGGATGATAGTCTTGACTCTTACCAATTGGCAAGGGATCGGACGAGGAGATCTTATAAAGCACCTGTTCGTTATGGGTATGCGGATTTGGTATACTATGCCTTGGTTACTGCAGATGACATAGATGATTCGGAACCAAAGAGCTATCGAGAAGCAGTTGCAAGCAAGGATAACGAATGTTGGAAGCAAGCCACGCAAGAAGAGATAGAGTCACTTGACAAGAACAAGACATGGGAACTTGTGAAGAAACCAAATAATCAAAGGATTGTTGGTTGCAAATGGGTTTTTAAGAGAAAATAAGGCATTAAGGGATTGGAAAAGCCTAGATATAAAGCGAGATTGGTAGCTAAGGGGTTTACACAATGGGAAGGAGTGGACTATAATGAGATCTACTTGCCAGTGGTGAAGCACATTTCCATTAGACTATTGCTTGCTCTCACCAATCAGTTTGACTTAAAACTGGAGCAACTGGATGTGAAGACGGCATTTCCTTCATGGCAATCTTGAGGAAAGAATCCTTATGGCTCAACCGGAAGGGTTCGTCAAGAATGGAGATGAGGAAAAGGTATGCTTACTTAGAAAATCTCTCTATGGTTTAAAGCAATCTCCTAGACAATGGTATCTCAGGTTTGATGAATTCATGTTGAAGAACAAGTTCGTGTGGAGCAACTATGATAGTTATGTTTATGTCAAATGGGTTAGAGAAGGCATGGGGGTGTTCTTACTTTTGTATGTGGATGATACGTTGATAGCATCAAAAGATAAAGGAGAAATCCAAAAGCTCAAGTGGCAATTAAGGAGTGAATTTGGAATGAAGGACTTGGGGCCGGCTAAAAAGATACTGGGGATGGAGATCATTCAGGATTGGAAGCAAGGTACGTTGTTTGTGTCTCAATGTGATTATCTCCGAAGTATTAAAAAGGTTCGGCATGTCAGAGTCGAAGGTTGTTCAAACACCTTTGGCGGGTCATTTCAAGTTATCCACACAAATGTCTCCAATGACGATGAGGAGAAGGTAAGTGTGGAGAAAATCCCTTATGCAAGTGCCGCTGGTAGTCTTATGTATCGATGGTTTGCACAAGACTGGACTTAGCTTATTCGGCTAGTCTTGTGAGTCGTTTTATGTCCAATCCAGGTAAGGAGCATTGGGAAGCGGTGAAGTGGGTAATTCAGTATGTGAAGGGAGCTTCGAACGTTGGTTTGCTCTACAAGTGGATGAGGAATGATGGTCAGAAGCTTAGAGGATATGTGGATGCGAATTTTGCAGGAGACTTGGACAAACGGAGGTCTTTGTCTGGATATATTTTCACATTATTTGGGTGCACAGTGAGTTGGAAAGCACAACTACAACCGGTGGTTGCATTGTCTACAACAGAGGCCGAGTATATAGCCGCCACGAAAGGTATCAAAGAAGCTATGTGGTTGAAAGATTTGATTGGTGAGTTGGGAATTGTGCAAGATGAGGTGGAGGTTTTTTGCGACAATCAGAGTTCCATACATTTGACTAAAAATCAAGTGTTTCATGAGAGGACAAAACACATAGATATCAAGCTTCATTTCATTCGGGATATTATCTCACGAGGGACTGTGACGTTGGAGAAGATTCATACGGATGAGAATCCAGCAGATATGGTGACGAAGCCCGTGACAGGGATTAAGTTCAAACATTGTTTGGATTTGATCAATGTTGCGGCACATGACAACTAGAGCAGATAGTTGATGGAAGTCTACTATGTGATGTTTCTTGGTTTCCGATTCAACTTCGATCCAAGGTGGAGATTTGTGAGGAATGTCTCTAAGTTTATCTTTGCGTGGATAGAGGGGTGAGCGTTTTGGCGCTAGTTTGGCAGCGCTTTGGCGCTGCGGGCTGCATGGAGTAGCGCGACGGCGTTGGATGAGTGTCGCCGCAACGCTGGTGCGAAATCATAAAAACATAAACTGCGAGTTTTTTGGCCGAAATTTCTAACTTTGGTTGAGAAACATACCAATCGACTAGGGCACGTCTCGGAGGCTACACAAAGGGCTTTGGGGGTTATTTAAGGGTTAGGAAACATAGAGAATGGCTTGGTGGCTGTAATCAAGAGATAACAAGTGAGAGAGTGAGAGAGAATTGAGAAGGGTTCTTTGGAGAATACTCTTGGTATCATTCTTGTAATCATTTGTGATTGATCATAGTAGACGAAAACACCATATTGCAGGACGTAGGATCTTACATTGAGGTCCGAACCTGGGTAAATCTTGTGTGTCGTTATTCTTCTTCCTTGCTTTACGTATTTTTCCGCATTGATTTTGTTTTTCTGATTTCTTGTTTGATTCTTATTTCTCGCAAACCGTTGATTCGTGTGCTTGAATCCGTCGGTATTCTTAACAGCAATATTTTCTCGGTAGTTATTCTTGCTTAGTTTTCTCAGGAAAATTGGGTTCAGATTCTGTTGTAATTTCTCTTTGGATAATCTGGTTGTAATCATCTGATTGTTATTAGTGCAAATCGAATTCCTCTGTAGAGTTCGCGGAGATATAGGTATCAATTGGTTGAACTCCGAAATCAATTCTGGTGTTCTTGTTTTCATTCTTGTTCTTCATTAATCTCTGTTTGAAATCTGAGGTTGGTGTTGGGGTCATTTCCAACAATAACCTTTTACTGATTTTAGTTTAGAACAGTTTTTTTGTTTGGCTTTTTTTCACATGAATAGTAATATCTACAAGACCAATAACTATTTAGAATTAGGAAGAAAAAGCACTTTATAATCAAGAATGACTGGAAGAACTACCTGCAGCAGCAGTAAGCAAATTATAATCAAGAGGCAATGACCGAGGGAGCTAGGAGGACTGTCCACCCTCGTGCGTGGGTGGGTCACTGCCCTTGCTCACGAATGGCTAAACACTCGGCTACAAGAGCATCGAAAACACCTGGTATAGTTTCAGAAAAGGCTAGGCTCATTAAACAAAACCAAGTAAATTTATAAGTTAAAATAACAAAATATATATATATATATATATATTTTTGCTGAATAATTTTACATATTGCAAATATCATATACAGCACTCCAAAATAAAATATAAATATAGGCATACAAAGGAAAAAATTGATTTAGAGAGCATATAATATAAATGAAAAAAAAAAGAAAATATAACATCTAAAAAGTCTGTTTGTAGTGTTTTCAAAATGGTATAAAATATAACCTTTATGCTGGTAATTAGTTATAATAGTTGCAAAGAGAGAGAAGCAAAAGTTCTATAGTTATTTTCAACATTTAGGTCTTCAGTTAAAAAAACAAAAACAAAAACAAAAAAAAACAAAAAAAAAAAGACATTCATATATGCTCGCACTCGAAATGTAGTTTCCATCAACACCTCAATTACCTACTGATCCTCCTCGAAATATGCCTTGAAGAACTCATCTTCTTTGCAGTATTTGCGCACAACTTTGTACACTTCAAAAAAGAGCTTTGGGAATTGACATGTGAAAAAGTCATTGAATCCTTCATATAGCGATCCAAAATGTTTCTGAAAAAATCCATCACAAAACTAAGTGAATATTATCATTGAAAAACCTCAATGAATGTGAAAATGTATCACATCCTATACTAGTATTGCAATCACCTTAATATCTTCTGAATCTTGTCTGTAGTGACTTAATCTGTTTCGAATGAATCGTAACAAGTCTTCAACCTTGTCAAACTTGTAAGTCCCTTTTATTTTCGGGTGGTTGAGATTGATTTCATTGTTAAAAATCTTTGTGTTCCATGGTGTAACATTTCCTTTCGAGTCTGTTCCTAAAACTGTCTTTGCAGTAGATTGAAGCCCACTCAAAAGATTAGGGTTCTCACTTACACTATCACTAGTGTCGCGGAAGAAATAAAGTCTCGTCTTTGCATTCCAGAACAGTGGATGGTGCATCACCTCACTTGCTTCTGGCCTACCAAGAATTAACGAACGTAATTTTCATCAAGAATTGAGGATTCAAGCTAGGTGCTGAGTTTCGTTCTTCTCAAGTTAGACTTTGAAACTTTTTCCATTGTTTTCCTATTAATCCACTAATACAAAGGCAAGGCCTTCTTACAACGCTATATACTTTAAATATGCTGAACAAATATAAAAGTGCTTCTAATAGATTAATATTATTAATTAGGTTCAAATATTATCATGTACCATTTAAAAAAAGAATCAAATCTGCCTTTTCTTTAAGCTTTTTAATAAAATAAGAGTAACATATGTGAAGAAGTTGAAGAAACTATATAATCTCACCTCTTCTCAAGATCAAATTGTAATAGAGAAGAAATAAGATCAAAAGCTTCAGGGAAATCTTCAATTGAAGACAAGTCTGGCTGTTTCTTCCTAATATTTCCATCACGTTCATCACTGTGCCCAAATGGATGCTTACCACCAGTGATGCAATAAAAAAGGATGCAACCTAAACTGAACAAATCCATCTTTTTCGTTTGTCGTCCAACAAGCTGAAGCTGTTCAGGTGCTTTCCAGCCAGTACTAGCGGCGCAACCTATAGTTAATTCCGTAAAACATGCATGAGACTAACATTGAAGGTAGTTAGGAGTTGAAATTAGGCTAAACAAAATTGTTTATGAGTGTATATTGTGAACAAATCTTTAAAATGAGACTAACATGTTTATGGCTCAAACGGATATCAAAGTACATATTACGATGAAAGTAGTAAAGTAACAGTACACCTGATCACTTATTCCTCAACTTATAACATTGGGAACCCTTATTTTCTTACCAGTTTACACATAAGATTACTCTAGAATTGGTTAGAATAGTCAAAAGCTTAAGGATAGAATTAGCTTGATCGACCAATGTGGTGAATGTACATATATAAGTAGGACGCTCAAAATAGGAAAATGAGAGTACTTACTAGAAGGATGGTTACTTAAGGAAAACCTATTATCAGAAAGCTTTCTGCTGATGCCCATATCAGAAAGCTTTGCACATAACGTTGAGCTTTGCTTAATTATTAAAACATTTTGTGGTTTTAAGTCCCGGTGAACTATACATGAGTTGTGCAGAACAACAAGCCCAGAAACCATGTCCCTGTGAGATCATAAATTGAAAATATATATAAAGTGAGGTAATCAATATGCATAACACGATTTTAAGTTCTTTACTGATGATTAAAAACACTTTTAACTAACCTCATCAATTTTAATAATAAAGACGATGGACGATCTATATTTGCTTTCCAAAGCTTTGCATTTCCTAAAATATTCTCCTCATTTTGAGAGGAATTCGTAGAATGCATTTCGATGAGGTCCATCAAATTGCAAGCACAACGCTCCAGAGCAAGGTACAAAAAATTTGTGTCACTTTCTACACCATGATACCTTACAATATTATGGCCATGATCAGATGCTATGAGATTCGCGATTTCTTGGTCAACAAGTTTAATATGACTTTGTTGAAGGCGTTTCACAGCGACTTCTCTACCTTCATAACGCCCCTCATAGACAACGGTCCCGTCGGTTCCTCGACCAATTTCCTTTGATAATAAAACCACTAATTTTTTGCCTATCATCCGTTGATTTTCTTCGGATGAAACTTCTGAGCTAGAACTATAGCTTCCTTCTTCATACTGATTTAATAGAATTTCTCACATAAAAGTATATGGAAGTTGAAATTGATAGTCCAATAGAATGAAGAAATAAATCATTTAAAACATATCAGTATTTAAAATATTTTTTTCATCGGGATATATATAATCAATTAAAACATGAAGTTTCTTTAGTACTGTACTATTAGTATATATTTTGAACAACGGATCATATTAATATTACAAAAAACTTAAAAAGTGCGCAAACTAGCCTCTAATATAAATTTGAATTAGAGCTATACTATTATTTTTTTTAATAACCTACTATAGAACTCTAACTTTTCTAAATTAAAAGTTTTATTTTTTCTTTTATGAGAATAAAAAAATTATTATTTTACTCTTTAACATGCCTAATTTTCTTCTTCATCGATCTATTGTTTGGCTAGAAAAGAGTGTTACTGGAAAACGTGACATGACTTATTAACAAATTAATAAAGGGAAAAGAGCCGATCGGAACTTCAGTGAAAAGAAATGATATTTTAGCAATTTAAAGAAAAATGTGTCTTTCCTTTTTTGATTTGTGACTTTGTTTAAATCAGCGAATTTTGAAGCCATTCTGTAACACCCTAAAGAATTAAATGAAATTAATTAAGATAATTGAGATTATTAGTGTGCATAATCTAGATTTACTAATTGAGTATTAATTAATAAGTGTTTCTGACACGTGTAAATTTAAATAATTCCAAAGTATTTAAATATTCTCAGTATTTATATTTTTCTCAGGAGTGTGTATGGGCACATTCCTAGACTGTTATTTTAAAATATTGTACACATGTCATTTCTTTTTCTTTTTCCTTTTCTTTCCTTTTCCTTTTCTCTTTCTTTCCTTTTCTCTTTCCTTTCCCGTGCTCTCTCTCTCTCTCTCTTCACTCCTGTGCTCCCTCTCTCTTTCTCTCTCTCTCTCTCGTTTTTGCCCCAAATCAAACTGATCTTGAACCAAGGAAAGATTTAAAGAAGTTTCCAACGTCAAGAGAATGATTCAAGGTAAGATTTCTGAAAAACTCTCTCTTGAATCTTAGATTTTCAGATTTGAAATCCTATTCTTGGTTCAAAACGGATTTGCATGGTTTTTTAGTAAAATTGTGGTAGAAATTGGAGATTTTGGGTTCTTTGGACTTGATTTAGTACATAGAACCCGGATCTAGTGGTTTTCCTTTGAAATATTTCAATTTGGGATTGGATTTGCAGGTTTTCGGACAGTTTTCGTGAGCTTCTCTCGCGCAGCTGATTCCACCGGTCGACCTGTCTGGTCGACTGGATCACGTGGTAACCAGTCGACTGGTGCGGTCGACCGGATTGCATTGGCCTGACCGGTCGACCTGTCCGGTTTGACCGAAGTGCACACTACCGGTCAACTGGTAGTGTTACACTACTCTGTCACCGGTCGACCGGTTGACACGGGGTTGGACCCTATTTGGCCTGAAATTGCTGTTTTGACCCCTCTTTTCGGGGAGAACTCAAATTAGCTTTATTTGGGGACTTGAGATGAATGAATTAACATCTTTAATCCTTGATTTGAGATTGAAAACCCTTGGAATGATAATTTGAAACATGAAATTGGATTAGGGCACACTAATTAGAAATCTTGGTACATAATTGAGATTGGATTGCTTTAGGAATGAGAATTGATCCTAAAGTGTTGTCTTGTATCAGTGATCATTGATGATTCAAATTGAAAGGGCTTGAGGAAGCGGAAGCCGGAAAAAGGCAACAGTAGAGGAAGCAGAAGCCGGAAAAAGGCAACGCTAGTCCCAGGTTTGATAGTGTAAGGTAGGATTTTTATCCCTTTTCCTTGTGAGCCTGATTTTCGAAAAGAATTTTGGCCTTGAAAATGTTTTAAAGAAAGGGGTTGGTTTGCGAAAGAAAAACTCTTTGAAAACCATGGCTTGTCTAGTTCATGGAATCCATGGCTTTTCCTGTCCATGGAATCCATAGCTTATTTAGTCATGGAACCTCATGGCTTGCCCAGTCATGGGGCCCGCGTCTTGAGTAGTTCGTGGGGTCATATTAACGATTTCATAATGTTAAATGAATGATTTCTTAAGATAAGAGATCTTGTGAACCAGTAAGAATATATTGCTGTAAGCCTAGATAGGATGCAGAGAGTGCATCCTCGGGGGCAGAACCCGAAACGCGGTCCGAATATGCGAGGCACTTGGTAGGTTAGTAATTTGTGCTAATTATTTGCTGATGTCTGTAATACGGTTATTTTCAGTTATATTTCCTTTGAGAAAAAGGATGTGAGGTTACGGCTGTCTATCGGAACTGAATGTCTTATTTTATTTACTTATTCATTTATTTATTCCTTGCTCATTTATTATTCATTTATTTATACAGTCATTTCAAACTATATCCTACTGGGCCTTTCACTCACGTTTTACTGTTTTTATGCCCCCCTCCAAGGAGATTCTAGGAGCGGTGCAGGGTAGCTAGATACTTGCTACTGTTGGACCAAGTGAGAATTGTGTTCATCCTCTTGAATAAATGTCAGGAATTTGTAAATTCTGTAAACCATGATATTTGGATTACTAGACTGTGGTTGATGTCTGTGAATTGTAATGATTATTTACATGTGCATGTATGTATGATACTGTATGTCTTGGGGGGGACGTGACACATTCTTATGGAATTCTGTGTGAATGAACAAATTAATAGTTTATCATTTTTATTTAATTGTTTTGATTTATCTAATTAAGTTTCCGCTACATAAAAAATTCTCAAATATGCATTTGTACTTTTATGTGCACATTAATTATTGTTTTTTTGCGCTGAGATAATTATAATTTAGTTAATCTAATGGTGTTTAAGTGTATTTTTGCGGTGGGGAGTCCGTACAAGAGAAATTTATGTGCTAATGATATCTAAGATAACTATATGTGTTCTTCTTTTTATTTCAGAAATTTATATCATCGATTTTGTTAAGAGCATGCTTATTTTTTTATTTTTTTTCTTTAACTATGTTGGTAGCCCACTAGCAAACTTATCCTTTAGCAAATTCCCAACTCAATATTATTAATAGGAAAAGCAAATACGTAAAGTTAAGGAAAAGGGGATAGCAAAAACAGCGACATGGAAAATCTCTATGGGAATTCATAACTAAACGCTAAACCCTTTGCAAAACAACCTTTGCAAAAACCCTTATAGCATCAATTAGAGCATGCTTACTTGAATGACATGTATTTTTAATTTTATCATGAAATGTATAAAATGTAATTATAAATTTTATTATAAAATTAATTAGCTTGTGTTACCATAAAATATATAAACTTGGGTATAATTAATTAGATTAAGTTATTTATCTATCTAATTGTGTGTCTTTATTTTTGTTCTCCGTTAGCCTTACGTGTATATATAACCGAGAATGAAACCCAAGTAGCCCAATTGAATAGCCATTTCCCACAACCCGGTTACTTATATGAAGCTTCTTTAGGGTGCTTTCCCAGTTAATTAACTCCATTGTGCGAAAAAGAGAAAAAAAAAAGAAAAAAAAAAGACCCTTTCTTTCACAACATGCACTTAAAAAAAAAGGAGTTTTCTTCCCAGCAGCTCCGTGAATGGCTTCACTTCTCTCAATCTAATATTTCTTTTTCAATAAAAAAACTCAACTTGAAAGTTGCTTAACAAGACGAATTAGTGTGCAAACCAGAAGCCTATAGATAATTTGGTTCGAAGATTGACGTTTCAGCTTCAAAATTTGCTTTTAAGTAATTTTATATTTATATGAGAAATCCCTTTCTATTTTCTTGCTGCAAATATAACTTGAAAAATTGTGTACAATGCTACTTACGTTTTAGTTGGGTATGGTTTTGTGATTTGTTTGAACAGGTTTGAGATTGTCTTGAACTATCTTGAATTGAATTGGGATAAAATCATTTTAGTACATGGGTTATAACAAAATATGCACCTAGTACCCAGTGTATTTTAAATATTTTTTATAATATTAAAACGGTACCTTAATATTTTCAAAACATCTTCTTGAGATAGGTAATGTCCGATCTATCCTCTTATTAATTAAATGAAAATCAATATTTAAAAAAAAACTAAATATACTTTATAACATTAAAATATTTAAAAGAAAACAACAACAAAAAAAAGTTTCATTCATCTTTTTTCTAGATTTATTAGTTTTTTAATTAAATAGAAGGGTACTAAGTTCATCATTTTTTTCATCTGTTTTGATTAAGACTCTCTTTGAATGTTACATATCGTATACAGAGTTTGAACTGTAGAAACCTTACAGTTTTGGAAATCTACAAATTAAGGATTTGTGGATGAGAATGCAACTATTAACTTCTTCTTTTTCTAAAGAAGAAGTCAACTGTTTTGACTAAGTTTGTTTTTGGGAAGGGAGTCTTAGTTTATGTAGGTGTGTTACACATATTTTCTGATGTTTAGGAGTACATATATATAATATACACTAAAATTACACATTTAACATAAGTTTACTTCAGTAAATCATACATACATACATATGTGTGTGTGTGTGTGTATATTCATACTTAAAGCTGTTTATATATAAATGACAACTTACGTGTCTGCGGACGTCTCTGATAAAATTTTTCCAAAGCTCAGTTACCCGTGAAGAGGGATGGAGATTTTCTTTCTGTGAAGTTGCAAGAAATAGGTATCAAACATCAGTTGCTAATTAGAGAGAATAATATACATATCAGAAAAGCCCAAAGAGTTATTTATGTACCAGACTCTTGATAGCTTCTTCAGCAGCTATGACGATATCCTTTTGGATCGAACAGAGGAAAAAGAGAAAGAGAGACAGAAAGGGGAAAAAAAAAAAAAAGCATAAATGGTTAAAAGACAAGCAAGAATGGATAGTACTGTTGGAATACAAAGCACATGAGGAAGTATATAGTACCGAGTCCATTAAAAAATCTTCAATGTTCGACGTTACCAGGTAAGTACTCTTATAAGTTATGGATGAACTTAAAAAGGAAACAAATGAAAGAGGAGACTAGAGAGTGGAAAAATGGCAATGGTGGTTTCTAAAGTTGAATAGCTTTGTTGACCTATTAATTTTCAGAACTTCAATGAGAAAAATTTGCATTTTTTTTTCCAACAACTATTTGATGGAGAGACAAACCCATTCAGATCTAAGCTATATAATATCATTTTTTTACTCTTGAATATGGTCACGCCGAGAAAGCTTGTACCATCAGAGAGAGAGTGTCAAGTGAGTGGTGGACATTTCACATTTGCATATAGAAAGAGAAAAGGAAAAGGAGAAAGCAAGTGAAGAGAAATAGAGATACAAAACAAAAAAAGGACATGAAAAGGAGAGTTGGTGGGCACAGGGGTTTGAACTTTGCAGTAAAATAGTAAAAGATCGTGGCCGACATGATAAATCCGAGGAAGGGATTTAAATATAAACTCGTAAATGACAAGTGGAATCTTGATTTACAGTGTGACAAGAGCATCAACGGTGAGGAATTCACTCAGAATACAATAAAATAATAGAGTTATGATAAAGTAAAAACATTAAATAAGCGAAAAATGTTAACAAAAATCCCTTGTTTTATATATATATATATATATATATATATATATAATATAATTTATATAAATATAAATACTGTAAGATAACTATAAGATTATTATTATAATGGTGAATTAGTAGGTATAAGTACACTAGTTACAATATTATTATTATTTTATTTATAATGTGACATAACAAAATAATAATCTTGCAATTATTAGTATTATTATAATTTTATTTATTACAATATTACCGCTGTAATTATATTATGAATATATAATTGAATATACTATTATATAGTACATTATTAGTATATATGCATTATATAATATATCATATATAACATACTATAATAATATGATAGTTATTAATATAATTATTATATTATGAATTACGATATTACAACTATATCATATCATATCATATAAAATTATATTACATCATATCATTAAAAATATAAGATTGAACTCATCTCCAATTTGCCCACTCCAAAGACTGTCAAAGAAGTTTTGTCATTTCTAGGGCATGCTGGTTTTTATAGGAGGTTCATACATAATTTTTCTATGATTTCTCGTCCATTATGTAACCTCCTAGCCAAAGATGCCATTTTTGAGTGGACACCTGAGTGTGAAAATGCTTTTCAAATGCTCGTGGTGAAACTGACTTTTTCCCCCATCATTCAGCCACCGGATTGGAGCTTACCATTCGAGATCTTGTGTGACGCAAGCAACCATGCTGTTGGGCCTGTCCTAGGTCAGAGAAGGGAGGGGAAGCCCTTTTTTGTGGACTATACTAGCCGAACTCTTAACAGCGCTCAATTGAATTATTCAACCACTAAAAAAGAGTTGCTCGCTGTAGTGTTCGCACTTGACAAGTTTCGTGCATACTTGATCGGTTCACCCATTACCGTCTTCACAGATCATTCTGCCCTCAAGTATCTCCTTTCCAAAAAAGATGCTAAGGTGCGGTTAATTCGGTGGATCCTTCTGTTGCAGGAATTTGACTTGACCATTAAGGACAAGAAAGGTGTTGAGAATGTTCTGGCAAATCACTTGTCCTGATTGGACTTTAAAGACTCTACTGATGCCCCTGCCATTCGAGATGACTCCCCTGATGAACATCTTTTCGCGGTCACTAAGCTACCTTGGTATGATTACATCATCAATTACTTGGTGACCGGTGAACTTCCTTATGATTGGAGTGCACAAGATAAACGCAAGTTTCTGGTCGAGGTGCGTAATTTCTTTTGGGATGATCCGTACCTGTTCAAGTACTACCCCCACCAAATCATGAGGCGTTGCATTCCTGATGATGAGATTCTTAGTGTTTTGAACTTTTGTCATAACGATGCATGTGGTGGTCACTTCTCTGTGAAGAAGACTGCTGCAAAAATTTTGCAGTGTGATCTTTATCGGCCCACTTTGTTCAAGGACAATAATGAGTTTTGTCGTTCTTGTGTGAGGTGCCAAAAGTTAGGTGCCCTGTCCCGACGCCATATGATGCCCTTGAACCCAATTCTTGTGATAGAGATATTCGATTGTTGGGGGATAGATTTTATGGGACCTTTTCCACCTTCTTCTGGTTACCTCTACATTCTCCTTGTTGTGGGTTACGTTTCTAAATAGGTAGAAGCCGTGCCGTGTCGGACTAATGATAATGCGATAGTTGTGAAGTTCTTGAAAGAGAATGTGTTATCTAGGTTTGGTACTCCGCGTGCTATCATCAGTGATCAAGGCACTCATTTCTACAACCGATCTTTTGAAGCTCTCATACGAAAACATGGTGTCATTCATAAGGTTGCAACTGCCTACCATCCACAGACTAATGGCCAAGCTGAGTTGGGGAATAGGGAGATTAAACAGATTCTGGAAAAGACGGTAAATCCCGACCGTAAAGATTGGTCCTCACGTCTTCTTGATGCTCTCTGGGCATACCGTACTGCTTACAAGTCCCCTCTTGGGATGTCTCCCTACAGGCTTGTCTTTGGGAAAGCCTATCATTTATGTGTAGAGCTCGAGCACAAAGCTTATTGGGCTATTAAAGCCCTTAACTTTGATCTTAGTGCTGTAGGTGTTCATCGCAAGCTCCAGCTATCAGAAATTGACGAGCTGAGAAATGATGCTTACGATAATTCCAGGATCTACAAGGCAAAAATGAAAGTGGCACATCATAAACAGATCCTATGAAAGAACTTTGAGCTGAATCAAAAGGTGCATCTCTATGACTCTCGTATGCATCTCTACCCAGGTAAGTTGAGGTCGCGGTGGACTGGTCCATTTGAAGTGAAACAAGTTTTCCTCAACGGTGCTGTCGAGGTTGAGGACCTAAGCGATGGGAGAGTATTTAGAGTCAATGGCCAGAGACTGAAGCACTACATTGAGCGTGTGAGCCAAGCTGAAGAGATCATTCTCGAGGCTCCGGTTTACCAACCTTGAGGCGTTTGTTTCCAACACTTTTGTATCATATTTTTATTTCTTTGTTTTGTTTAGTGTGTTTTGTGTGCTTCCATTTTCAGTTTGTTTTTTTGTGATTTTATATTTGTTTATGTGTTTTGGAGAATCAGTTCAGGAGGCTCAGCTTAGTTCCAATGTTCATCATCCAGGTGTTCTCTTTGCATATATTTTTAGACATTGAGGACACTGTCTGATTTTGGGTTGGGGGTGGTGAGCATATTCATGTGTGAGATTAAAGTTTGTCTTGTTGTTATTTTGGGTCAAAATTTTTGCGAGATTATTTGAGTATGATTTCAAAATGTTCAGTTTGAGTAAGTTTTTGCTATCTTAATTACCAAGAAATAATTTCCAGAGTTATTTTTGAGCACATGCCAAACCTTTGTGGTAAGATGGTTGTTAACACATTTAGTTGAGAAAAATTTCCGAGTTTAAGGTTTTCATTTTTGGTGAGTTGTGAGAGTTGAGAAAACAACTTTTTGAACTTTCACTGATCTTTTGAGTTGGTTGATTCATTAACGGAGCACCATTGCTTGACTTGTGACATTTGCTTTAGGTATGATTTTTTGTTAGGAATAATTTTTAGAATTGAGCCATGTGCTGTAAATATTTATCATTTTTCTTTTAATTTTCTTCAAAAAAAAAAGGAAAAAAAAAAGAAAAGAGCAAGAGCATCATTTTATCATCAATGTTTACGTAGTTTGGTTGCACTCACATCTTGTGTTGCATAGCAGTCAGTCAAAAGAATGCCTTACTACATCAGCTTTGTCAAATATATGTCGTCTCTTGCCTAAAAAAAAGAAAACAAAAAACAAAACACAAAAAAAAAAAAAGAAGACAAAGAAAGAAAAGAAAAAAAAAGTTTGTGTATATTTGTTTGTATTTTTCGGCTCTCTGTTCCTTTGTTTATGAGATTTTCTTTTTGACCAGAATGAAATCCCGAAAGCTTGTTTATGGTTTGAGTGATGGATTATTTCAGTGATTTGATTTGCCTATCATTTGATCAATGTTTGTTTATTAGCTTGTCCTTAAATTGCCTTCTCTCACTTGAGCGTTGACAGATTGACTTCCAACTCCATGAGTGAAAACTGTTTGCATTAAAATATTTTCGACACCCGTGAGGTAAATGGAGTTAAGACTTTTTCTTGGTGAATTTTTCGATGCTATTTGTGTTATGGACTGTGGTAAAAGGGATACGGTTTGGTGCACACACACACGACTCCAGAGTTATGACTGATATAGTTTTGATAGCATTTTCTGATGACTTACTAATGTTTTGTTTGATTGCTTAGGTGATTTTGCTAGTTTTGATTTGAATTTTTAGCTTGACATAATTTTTCTTTTGTGTTTCTATGGCTCCTAGCTATGTCCTCTCCGTGAATCTTCATGCGCCACGTGTCTCTAGCCTTTTGCTCTTCCTTTTTGTTGCCGTTTGTGTTTGTTGTTTTGCCGTTTTTCTTGACTGAGTGCAACTGAGATTCTTCTTCAGCCCCAGACCATTTTTGATGGTTTTTCTTCTCATTAAATTCTAGTTTTTATCATCCCAATTAATCATTTGTAAATTCCAATTAATTTTGGAACGTTTGTTTCTTTTTGTTGTTGCTGGAAGTGCTTTTTGGTACACCTAAAAGAACTCTATAAATAGGGTCATTGTCAAAGTGATTAGGTTGTTGATTTTGAGCTTACGTTTAGACACATTTTCTCTTATTTTCTTGTTCTTATTCTCATACTTTCTTTTTAGAATTTTATGGGAATTATGTGCAAGTTAGCCTAAAGTTCTTTGGTGAGGTTAGAGAGAAACCTATATGTGAAGTGATCTTGAGTGGATTTTGATTCTCTATTTGTTCTCCAAAGTTTATATATTTGAGTGATTAATTTTCTTCTATCTTTTTCTAATTTCTCATACTGATATATTTTGTTGTCAACTTTTATATGAATTTAATCATGCTCTTTTTATGTAATTGTTGTTTAATATAATTATATCGATAATATTATTTTATGAGTAGTCTTTTACTGCAATATTGCCAACGGTATATTGTCGCTTTAAGATTTCTTGTAAGAATAATTTTTATTTGTTTTCAACGTAAGAATTTTACTCACTCGAATACATTTTAATTCACACGTTCTTCAAATATTTATTTTCCGATTGTTAGTTTGGGATGTGAAACTTTCAATTGAGTAATCTCAAATATCAAAATCCATTCGGGTGAACGAAGCATCTAGGGGAATCTCAACGCCTTACCGGTTTTAACTATATAATTTTCTCATACATTTTTCTTATGCTTAAACTTCTCAACAAAAATTTCATTCTCTTTTATTTTTACTTTATTATTTATCTCCTAAAGCTTTTTATTTGCTAATCGTTTCTTGTTCAATTTGTCACTTCCTCGTGGGATCGACCGTCCTAATTGTGCTACAATTGACCGCTTATTTTGTACACGTTTGGGAGTAATCAATTACCAATGTGCACCAAACCCGTGCGTATTTGGCCTAAAATCACCATTTTGGATCTGTTTCGGAAATCAACTCGAAACTGATGTATAGGGTCATTTTTTAGGAAATACCCATTTCACAAAAGTTGTTCGGAATAAAATTTCCTTCCATTTGATATCAGTCACTTTTGAAATTATGCTTCTATCTTGGTCCTCTAGCTTAAGCAAATTTGGGTACAAGTTTCGGGTCAATAATCTAGTTTTCGATTTTGGTTTGAAACCTAGAATTTTTATCGTTTTAGGTTTCTACGCATCTTTGGTCACCTAATCAACTTTTTTACGGGTTTAGTTTAAATTTTCAAACTAAATTTCACCGGAGTTCAGCCTAAGTTTTGGGTTTCCCGAGCTAACCATAGCTCATTTTATCCGTTATTTCAACCTTTCAACATATATCACAACCATTATCATTCCTTCTTATCATCGTAAATATTGGCCTCGGTCATTTCACCGTTTCGAGTTTCTAGTTCTAGATTTATACAGTTAAAAGCTCTTAGTAAACGTCACATCTAACTTTTTCGGCAACAGTTAAAAGCTCTATGAAAATGTCACATTTAAGCTCGAATTGAAAACTCAAATTCGCAGAGCGAACGAGGCCATTATAATTTCTAGGGTTTCTTTACTATTCTCACAAGAATTCTCCCTAAATAAAGATGCTAAAAACATAATCCAATAACCGAAAATATAACCTTTAGACATTAAGTTTTTCAGTACCATTCATAACCGTAAGAAAATCATCATTCTTAGCAAAAAAAATTTCATAGTTTCTATTGTTCATGAACGTGTAGCCATGGTAAAAAAAATGAGATGAAAAATAGAAATTTTACCTTAGAAGAATGAAGAACAAGTTCATATGACGCTAATCAATGGTAGTTTTCCGCCGATTTCGATTTGGACTCGATTTTCTCACTTTGGGAATTTTTTTTCCTCTCTTTCTTTGGCTGAGTCCTCTCAGTTTTTTAGCATGAAAATTGACATTTTTCTTGTATTTTTCCCTTTTAAAAACCGTTCACCAAAAGAGAGGAGGGACCTTGGTGTAATTTTGACACTTTTTAGGGTCTTTTTTACAAAAATATCAAAATATCAGTTTGGCTTCTCCCCTATGTCTTGGCCAGCCATATCCTCTCTTTCCATGTGTCCTAATCTCAGCCCTCCATCTATTAATCATCTTAAATCTCAACAATTCATTCTTCATAACTATCTCGTTTCGGTTCACTTTAATTCCTGTCTAGTGCGCATTTTACCTGTGTTTTTCAGACAATTGGTCAACTTGGTTAACTTTAATCAACCTTGACTAACTTTTCAAGAGTGACCTATTGGTCGACTCTTGATTAATAAATTTTGACTCGGTCAACCCTAATCGATCAAAACCCTAACTTTCTCGGTTCGGCTTTCTAAACCCATTTTCCATCCGTTCTTCGTTCTGATTGTTTCTAAAATCCTAGAATTGATGTTTTTCAATTCTTTTTCATTTCCTAAACTTAGGGTCCGTTTAGTTCACTGATTCGAGTTTTTAATTCGAGTTGAGATGTGATGTTATGTGAGAACTTTTTACTGTAGTAAAAAAGTGAAATGTGATTGTTTCTGAGAGCTTTTTGTTGTAGCAAAACTCGAATTTTAAACTCGAATCGGTGAAATGAACAGGGCCTTAATATTCATGTGTTTGTCCTCTTCTGGGTATAACACAACATTTCATGCCACTTTCTTGATTACAATCTGAAATTTGACAAGTGTATCATAGTTCAAAATTTTTTACTTTTTAGCTTATACCTTGCTATTCAATATTAATATCAACAAATACTTATCATAAAAGTATTCATATTTATAATGTAAAAAATTCTAAAAGATTTCATCTTATAAAATAATTTATTCGATAAATTTCCCGGTCATAACAAATGATATATGCAGTTCCGATGTAAACGGGTTTATCTCCGTCATACATGGTGGGAAAAGAAATGTAATTCTTGTTCAAGCATATATAAGCAACTTTAGGTACCACCATTGCCATTTTTCTATTCTCTAGTCTCTTATATTTTTCTTCCCTTTTAAGTTCATCCACAACTTATACAAATACTTACCCGACGTTTCAGTAGGGGAAAATTACAAGTACGTCCGTCACTTTAATTACATGAGAAAAGTAATATATTAGGCCAGGACAATGTCAATTGCTGAAGATAATACCTTGAAGTCACTCCATCCAACGGTATTCATTTCCTCATATGTTATTTTTTTTTATCACTTCTTATATATATATTGTTCTCCTTTCTTAACCAGTATTGATGCCCTTAATTTGTTGTTTTCTTCTTTTTCTTTCTTCTTCTTCTTCTCTTTCTTTATTATTATTCTTCTTCTTCTTCTACTTTTATCTAAAAGGAGTTCAAAGCAGCTGAAGACGTAATCAATGTTTATTTTTTTTTCTTTTAATTGGGTTTTTTTTTTTTTTTTTTTTTTTTTTTTTTTTTTTTTTTTTTTTGTGCTAAAACTGTAATTAGCGATTTTCTTACAACCTGACGGAAAGTAAATCCCACTCGCCGGATAATTGAACTTTCGGAAAATTTTCTAAGAGACGTAATACCCATATTAATTAGGAATTTAAATGGGGCTCCTATACTCTCCTTTTGTCTCCCATAGTCCCATACGCTGCCCATATATTCCTTCACAGTTAAAAACCAATTGTTGCAGCGTCATCATATCTCAAACCGAAGACATTAGAACTTTTAGAAACATTTTCCTTGTTTTAAAGTGTTTCCCTTTTTTAACCACCACATTAAACTTAAAATATTTTACAACGCATATAGTTCATATTGGTAATGTAATTTGGCCGGAAAAGGGAGTAGGGTAGCTTCCCCAACATCTGTCCCGCCCTAACTTGGGGGTTTAGTTTTAACCATACCTGCACCACTCCTTTAGAGATGCCTATACCTGCGGGTAAAACTGTTATCAGTTGAGATCACGGTTAGTTGTTGACGATTGCAATGATAGTAGTCTCAGAGTAATCTCTGATGGACAAGACTTCTTCTCCAAACAAGAATTCTACACAAGGAATTTTCTAGATTTTAAGAACAACTTGGATCAACGCCTTTTCTTTTGACATGACGCTTCTTCTAGGTCACGTCATTTTATGAAGGGTTGTAATAACCATTTTTACCACGTCCTTGACCACGGCCTCAGCCACCATCACGTCCATGACCATGATTTTTTCCCGTCTCGAATTTTTAGAGAATGCAGCTTTTGATTTTGGAAAATGTTTCTGAACTAGTGGGATGAGAATGTTAATTTTTAATCAACAATTCATTATTTTTCTCTACCACAAGAAGAGCTGAGATTAGCTCCGAAAATTTCTTATAGCCGCACAAACGGTATTGTTGTTGCAAGGTAATGTGAGATGCATGGAAAGTGGAGTAGATTTTTTCTAGCATTTCAAACTTAAATTTTACAAACGAACATAAACTTGAATAAAATTCAAACTTAAATTCAAACTTTTTTTGAGTTTTACTCCAAAAAGAACAAGCCCTACAACTTTAAGAAACATATTCCTTGTTTTAAGGTTATCCCTTTTTTAACCTCCACATTAAACTTAAAATATTTTACAATGTATATAGCTCATATTGGTAAATGTAATTTGGCCGGAAAAGGGAGTGGGGTAACTTCCCCCACCACTGCTCCCTAACTCGGGGGTTAGTTTTAACCATACCTGCACCACTCCTATAAAATATCTGCATACCCACCTTTAGAAATGGGTACCTGCGGGTACTTAATTATACCACGGGTAAAACTGTTATCTCCAGTTTTCATTGATGTATAAATAGATTTAATTATATGATTTAGTGAATGATTAGCATATAGGATTTAGCTGAAATAGCATATCTCTGATTTATTCCAAAAGGCACAAAACATTCAAAATAGAAAGTAGTCATTACTTCCTGTAGGCTTTTGATTTCTAGTGGCGGAGAGGGAGAAAAAGAAGTTTGCATTCCCTTATTTTTAGGTATCAGATCCTCTGACAATAAAATCTCTTCAAAATTCAGATGTAAGGGAAAACAATTATAGCGACTCTAATTTACATTTTATAGAGAAAATATAATTTTCATATTTTTAAAACTGACTAAGCTCAAACTGTAACGCATAAAATGAAAAACAAAATCTTACACACACCCACAACAATAAAACATAAAAAGGCAGATTGGAAAAAACAAATGAAAAGAAAGAAGCATTTTATAGTTTTGTTTGGTGTTCGTTATCTTAAAATAAGAAGCATACAGAGGCATATAATAGAAAATGTATAAACAACAAAAATATACAATAATATCTGAGATTATCATTTAGGTCAAATTACATGGTTATCGTATCTTTCCATCTGACCTTAATGGAACTTTAATTGAGGATTAAATTTGAGACGCTTAAAGAGTTCAAAAAGTTTGAGTTAGAACAATTTTCAGTCTGAGGACAAATTCTAGAGGGAGAAGAAATTAGTTAAGAGCACGCTTAGATCTCTTTATATATATATATATATATATATATATTAGTTTAGAAGCACGTATTATACACATGCATAGTCGACTCGTTATATATTTTATACATGAATGTAAAATATCCTCTAAAGTTTACATTTTTTTGCTGAATTATTATTTATATTATTTTATTTTAATAAAATAAATTCTTTTTAAGTAGACCACATTTCAGGGATAAAAAAAAGATTAAGACGAAACATAATTTATGTGAGGTGATATGAAAAAAGAATAATAGATGCGGCAAAAAGATGTTTAAATAAGGACACATTTGAGAAAAAAGTAATTTTATCATAAATAGAAAAAAATGAAAGTATATATAAAGGACACATTTTAAAAAAATCTATATATAAGTAAACAACACTCTTTTTTTACTCTTTCCTGACCAAACGACATACCGATGAAGACAAAAATTGTGTGTTGAGGAGGAAAATAAAAAAGTTATTTATTCTCATAAAAGAAGAAAAAATACAAACTTTTTGTATAAAAAAAGGTCAAGATATATATTTCATCTACGTTTTAATGAAAATTCTATGGTAGCATATGAGGAAATGGGAGAAATACAAAAATATCACTTAAAAGATGTCATCTTTACATTTATAACACTCAATCACAAAAATTTAACATCTATGCCTCTCTAAAAACCATAAAATATCTTTCAAACAAGAAAAAAAAAAACAGAAAATGTCCTGGATATACTACTAGATTATTTTTCTCCTTAATAAGGATGACCGAATATTTTTGGCTATTGTATTTGTAGAGTATTCTTGTAAAATATCAAAATCAACAAAAATAGAGAGTACAGAATAGATGGCATAAACATAAAGCTCTTGAATTTTGGTGCCATGCTATGTAATTATGTTAGGGTTCTTCTAACTGTTAAATCTGTATTAGAGGCTAGTTTTGCGTATTTTTTCAGTCTGTCATGATTTTGATCTAATTTAATTAACGTTCAAAAAACATAGACTAGAGTACTAAAGACTATACGTGATCCCCCCTAAGGTTCTCATATAACGACATTTTAATTGATCTATATCTTCATTCAACTGGAGGATATCACTTTTCTACTTTTATATTTAAATGTGAGAATTCTTTTATGTCAGCATAAAGAAGAAAGCACTCCTTCTAGCTCAGAAGTTACATCCTCTAAGAATCAACGGAAGATAGGCGAAAAATTAGTGGTTTTATTTTCAAAGGAAATTGGTCAAGGTATTGACGGGACTGTTGTCTATGAGGGGACTTATGATGGTAGACCAGTCGCTGTGAAACGCATTCTCCAAAGTCATGCTACGTTGATTGCCCCAGAAATCAAGAATCTTGTAGCATCTGATCATGGCCCGAATATTGTAAGATATCATGGAAACGAAAATGACAGAAATTTTATTTATCTAGCTCTGGAGCGCTGTGATTGCAATTTATATGACCTCATCCGACTGTATTCTACGTATTCCAATCAAAATGAGTCCATTTCAATATACTTGGAGAAACTGAAGAATGTTTTAAGAGATGTTAAGCTTTGGGAAGGAAATATAGACCGTCCATCACCTTTATTACTGAAATTGATGAGGTTAGTTAAAAAGTTCCTTTACTCATCACCAAGAACTTCAAATCGTATTATGAATAATTGAAGACAATTATGGGTACTCAATTGGAATTTTGAATGAAACATCTTTTAGGTCCTTTGTTTTTGGATCTGATTTATCATACTAATTGATCGCCTGATCTTATGTAAATGTTCAATTTTATGATCTTACAGTGACATTGTTTCTGGGCTTTTTGCTCTGCACAAATTGAATATAGTTCACCGAGACTTAAAGCCACAAAACATTTTAATAATTAAGGAAAGCTCAACTTTATGTGCAAAGCTTTCTGATATGGGCATCAGCAAACACCTTTCTGGTAAGTTCTCCTTTAAGTAACCATTATCTTGGCAAGAAATCTCATTTCCCTATTAATTTAAAAATTCTACTTATGCATATATGTTTGTCACACTAGTTGATCAAGCTAATTCTATCATTTAGGTCTTGACTAAGCAAACCTTATGTCTAAATCAACAAGAAAATAAGGGTTCCCACGTTAGTTGAGGTATATAAGTAATCGAGTTTTTTTTTTTTTTTTTAATATTAACTAGTACTTTATTACTCCCATCAGAATGTACTTTAATACCGTTTAAACCATGAATATGTTAGTCTAGTTTAAAACATTTGTTCACAACCTACACCCAAAAATAAATTTTCTTAAACTAATTACAACTGCTTTTCACTCCCTCCAATTTTAGTCTCATGCATGTTTTTTGGAATTAACTATAGGTTTTGAAAATCACTATATGGCTGGCTGCTTACCTTTGTTACCTGCACACGACTAAACTGATGCGCTAACGCTCAGCAAGTATAGACATGCACACATCATAAACTAGAAAAATTACATTAAGAGTTATGATGCAAATATGCTCATGTGAAACATGCTTTCTGTATTTCTGTCTTCATGTTCTTACTAGTGTAGGCCTGGCCCCTACTTACTATCTTGTTACTATGGGCTTGGGCCCATGCTTACTGTCTGGTCTAGTTAGAATCTCTACTCTTTGAGATTTCCTCCCTTGGGAGGCCGACGACCCGTCAGTCTCTTTACATTACTGAACTTTGAGTTTTCATTTCAAAGTGTTAAAAACTTTACTGAATGATATGCAACATTTACTCTACGTGCATATGCTAACATGAAAATGCAATATACTTCATGCATACCGTAAACTGAGCATTAGGGGAACCATAAGTCACCCTTCTGCAATCTAGGGCACTAAGCCCTCCAAACACTTAAAATCACATCGACTTAGGAATTCAGATAAATTCATAATTCTAAGTCTAACTACAGTTTACTCGAGTACGGACAAACATATATGTCTATACTTACAAATAATCCGCTAGGATTCCCGCTTGCTAGAAGTTCTTTCTCGTTGTTTCGGCTCTCGTGCCAAAACCTGTTTCATAGAAATAGGTATAAATTTCCTATTCCAAATCACAATTCTTCATACTTAGATTCTCAAATCTAATTTCAAACTCGTTTCTGAACCTTTTTCCCCTCTAGGCCGAATCCTAGCTCCAGAGGCAAATTACACATATTTGTGTATCTCGGTTTCTGAATCTTAATCTGTTAATTTCCAAGCTTTAAAACTATTTATTCCTTCTCTATCGAATTACTAACTCATAGCTTACTAACAAATTTTTAGGAAATTTCGGCAGAGTTTCACCTTATTTTTCTCATTTCTCGAGTTTGTAATAACTCGTTCTACTTCCGATTTCGGTACTTGGAGTCAAGATTCACATTCCTAAACACAGATTCTAACATAAAATTGAACAAAACACATGTTCTTTCTTAATCTAGGCTCATGGATTTTCAATGAAAATCCACCAAAACTTCGTTCAATCGTTTTAATACTTACATCGTTAAACTCTTATTACGATGCTCTACAAAACCTCAGTTTCAATTTTTACTTTAACGGAAGTTTTCTAAGATGGGTTACTATTTATCCAAATCAAGAAATCATAGAATTGTCATGAAAAACCCAAAATCTTACCTCCAGAAGTTGAGGTTCTTCGCTAGAACGCCTCAGGTTACGTTTCTACCGGACTGAACGGAAGAAATCTCAATGAAAATGCTTGATTTTCCTTTCTCCGTCTCTCTCTAAAATATTTTTTCCTTTACTTCCCTCTCTCACGTTTGTTTCTTTACAAACCTTTCTCTGCTTTGCCTTACATATGAAGTATGTAACCAACGTGAGTATTCATTAAACTACAAAGGCTCACCACGTGAGTCACCAAGCTAATAAGTTTAAGCATATAACTATGCCAAGTGGTACATCTGGATGTGAGGTATATATCCACCTCACGATAACAATCCTTTTATATATATATATATATACTATAACTTGGTTTAACCTGCTTTTGTTCTTTGTCATATCAAAGATACGTGCTAGCAAATGAGTGGGTTCTATACTCTTCAAATTTTTCTTGTCGAGACCTAACCTTCCGTTTCTCAAAACGAGTCTCTTTCCGGTTCTGATAATTTCACAACCAGTACAGGTTCTATACAGCTTTTCTGGACTGTCAAGTACCCTGTGTCAAACTTCTCATGTTCAACCCAATTCACTTGGGTATCTCATTAGTCAATTTCTCTTTTCTGAAATTTTCATTTTAATTTGTTCAGAATTGCCAAAAACCTTACCCTCGCGGCATTGGTTGTTTTTTAGCAATTTCTCACTTTAACTGACTCAGAAAAATTTTGTTTTAGGAACTTTTGCTATTTTCCTTACTTCTAATATTTATACTCTTTTTCTAGCTGATCATTTGGTCACAAACCAAATATTTCAGTTTTTCATAACTAAAATGTACCCGCTAAAATTTCTAACTTTTACTTATATTTTACTATTCATAATTGATATTTACAAATTTCCTTTGTCAGAATATTCGTATTATAACTTTACATATTCCGGAAAATTTTATCCCGTACATAAAGTTTCTACATAACAATTTCTTGATTACATCAAAATTCTACTACTTACTATTTCGGAAAGGATTTCGGTCAAATACCGGACTATCCGGATTAGACCTAAATTTTTCTCGGTCATTACAATTAATTAGGTGATTTTACATATATTTAACTCGGCACTCGAGAGAGGGAGTTGGATTATTTTAGGAAATTTATGATTAATGTTTGGCTTGAGGGAAATCAATAACATTAAAAAGGATTAGAATAACTAGGCAAGGTAAAATCAAGGACCCTAGCTACCTTATCATTAGAGCCCCCTTCGATCCCAAAAATGTCTTCCATTGTGTAATTTGCTCATTTAAGGAGTTTAGCATTTTATTTTTGTTTTGATTGATCTCCTTCTTATGTTGGACTTGTCTGGATGAAATTAGGTTATTCTAGTTGTAGTACTTAGCTAGATTTTAGGAACATAATCCTCGTGGGACACGACACTCACTCACTACGTTATTACTTGTCAACCTCGTGCACTTACGAGTAGAAAATATGTGATATTTTCACACCGATCACCAAGAGTCGACCAAAATGTCACCCTCAAAAAGTTAGTCAAGAATGGTCAAGGTTGACAAAGTTGACCATCTATCTGAAAAACGTGTATAAAATGCATAATGGATAGGAATTAAACTGAACCAAAATAGGATAATTATTAAATGATCAATGGTTGAGATTAAAAGTAAAAAATTGGATGAAGGGCTAAGATTGAGCCATGTGGCATCCATAGGTGGCCGGCCAAGCTTAGAGGAGAAGAAAATGAAAGATATTTTTGGAAAAATCAAAATTGCATTTTTGGACTTTCGCTGTAGGTATGGTCGGTTCATTAATGGTATATCACGTGAGAAATGTTCATTTCTCATGCATAAGAATAAAGAGCATCAGCCAAGAGAGAAAGAGAGGAAAAAAATTCAAAAGTGAGGAAAAATGAGATTTAAGCAGAAATCAACGGAATTACTGAGGAATAGCATCACTGAAGCTTGTTCTTCACTCTCTAAGGTGAGATTTCAAATTTTCCCCTTCATTTCTTCACTATGGCTGCACGTGGGTGGTGATAGAAAGCATGAGGAAAATTTCACTTAAGTATGGTAGTTAGCTTGTAGTGGTTAAGGAACTTAAAAATTGATGAATTAAGGATAGATTCTAGGTTAATTGATCTTTGTGTCTATCAACTTTTGGTATGGAGAATTTTTATGGAAATATAAGAAAACCCTAGAATTGTGATGTAATTGAAAGAGAAAGTATATGAATGGTGTTTGATGGTGGAAACAATGGATAAAACGAGCTACGGTTAGCTCGGGAAACATGGAGAAATAGGCGGAACTCTGCCGAAATTTAGTTTGAGACTTTGAGTTAAAACCGGTTTTTCATGAGGAATAAAGAATTAAGATATGAAAAGTAAGTCGATTCGATAATCGGTGATGTATAGAAACCGAACACAATGAGAATTCACAGTTCTGGACCGAAACTAAAAAATTAGGCCCAGACTGAGGACGGTGCATGGTTTTAGTGCAAATTCTTGAGAAGGGGGTGGAGCTGTAACACCTCGAAGAATTTAATAAGGTTAATTAAGATAATCAAGATTTATTAGTGTGCCTAATTTGGATTACTTAATTAATTATTGACTGATAAATATTTTTGGCGTGTAAATTAAATATTTCTTAGGAATTTAAATGTTCTCAGTATTTACATTTTTACCCCAGAAGTGTGTGTAGACACATTTTCTGGACGGTTATTTTTAAATGTTTGGACATCTATTTTTCTTTTCTTTTTTCTTTTCTTTTCTTTTCTTTTCTTTTCTTTTTCTTTTCATCCTTTCCTTTCTTTCCTTCCCGTGTGTTCCTCATACTCTCTCTCTCTCTCTCTCTCTCTCTCTCTCTCTCTTGTTTGCTTCTCACTTTCTCTCTCCCGTTTTGTCACAAAATCAACCAGATTTCGAACCAAAGAAGAATTTCAAGAAGTTTTCAACGTGAAGAGAAGGATTTGAGGTAAGATTTTTAAAAAACCTCTCTTGATTCTTGGATTTTTGGATTTAGAAACCCTATTTTGGTTCGGAATGGATTTTTGATGGATTTTGACAAAAATCAGGGTAGAAATTGGAGATCATGGGTTCTTTGGACTTGATTTAGTACTTAGAACCTGGATTCAGGTGTTTTCCCTTGAAATATTTTGATTTGGGGCATATGTTTATAGGTTTTTGGGAGGATTTGGTGTGTTTTCTCACCCTGCTATTCTCCACCGGTCGACTGGATTGCATTGATCCCACCAGTCGACCGGATTGGACACCATCGGTCGACCGGTGGTTTTGCATTGCTCTGTCACCAGTTTATCGGTGTACACGGGGTTTGACCCTGTTTTGCTTGAAAAACCTTATTTTGACCTCGATTCTCGAAGAGAACACAAATTAGCTTCATTTGGGGTATTGAGATAAATGGATTAGCATTTTTAATCCATATTTTGAAATCAAAAACCTTGGAAATGATGATTTATGAAATTTGACATTTGACTAAGGCACACTAAAAGGAAATCATGGTGCATGTTGTCATTTATTTTGCTTTAGGAATGAGAGTTTGATCCAAAAGTGATGTTTTGTATGAATGCTAGCTGAGGACTCGGATTGAAGGCTTCGAGAAAGTGGAAGCCAGAATAGAGCAACGCTAGCCGCAGGTTTGCTATTCGTGAGGTAGGATTCCTATCCCTTCCTATGTGAGCCTGATTTTAAAAGAGTTTTGGCCTTGTAAATATTTTAAAGAAATGGCATGTTTGTGAAAGAAAAATATTTTAACACGATAGCTTGTTGTTAGCTATTGCGATTTTAATGAACGATTTTAAAAA